CCAGCAACGCACTCGCGAGCCCTCTGGCATTGAGAGTGTCCATGGGCGGCGGTATCACTTAACATCAGGTGAGCCTCCTGCCCGTTTGCCCCCGTTCTATAAAAAAAAAAAAAAAAAATATTTTCATTATGCCCGCTGTAATAGTTTTGTAACTCTATGGTAAATTCTTCCTTATTAACAATACCTATAATATTTCTGAGTTTTGTTGATCGACAGGCTAGATATCCGACATTGTAAATACGAGATCACAAAGGTTCACGCGAATAAAAAATATTAAAACACGCAAAATGTATGTAATTTAGACTATGTTTGGAGACCAACACTAACTTAATTATCATTCAAACTGCACTTCTTTGGTCAATCACAGATTAATTTTACTTCCACAACATTTTCATATAACTTTTCACGTTCTCTTTCAACATCCTAAAGCTGTGAGTTACTTTCAAGACGACATCAATTTACATTCACCAAAACACCGTTTGGTTACATTCGACAACAAACGAATTAACAAACAAATATGGTCGCCACCATGGCATATTCCGTTCAACCAATCAGCGCGTGGCATATTCCGTTCAACCAATGAGCGCGCGAGGTGCGTACCGTTTCATAATTTGACGATTTCACTTCGATAGATTATAATCTACCGAATAATAATACGTTCAATTGTAAGCAATACGTTGAGTTCACAATTTTTCGACAGTTTACAATCTCGCGCGATAGATTACAATCTAACGGTTTTTACAATTTTACGTTGACATTTATATATGTATGATTCATATCGTTGAGAAATAAACATACAAACAATACAATACTCTTCCATGAATAGATATAAATTCATATTAGAGATTAGGCCTCGCTGGTGGAACCGGTCGGAAGCATGTTTTTGTTTAGAAGCAATCATTTTATTGTGGCTCGCGGCTATAAGTTGTTTACTTGTCTTGTTTATACAAGGAGCTGGTGAAGAATATATAAAATGTAACAAAAGATATTACAGTTCGCTTCGACATGCGGGAGTCAACTACTGTTTAAATTCAATTAAATATTAAATTAACTTAATATTAAAGAGTTCTTTAATTGTGTCAAGACACGTTTTACAATAAAGGTAAAATTTAAAAATAAATAAAAACTTTAGAACCGAATCTGAGGTGTCAAATAAGAGAGGAACTAAAAAATAATCGATTACACTGTATTTTAAAACATGATTTTTCAACATAGGATAATAAAAAAATTTAACAGTTTTGTTACATATCTAGGATTTTCGTCTATTCAGAGGACAAAACAGTAGACAACAGTCAGTATAAAGAGCGTGACGTAGTGCGAAGTATGTGCAGTCAACACATGCTGTATCCAGCTGAGGATTATAAGATACATTTGATAACCAAGGTCGGGGAATTAAGCCAAAATAAACGGCTATCTCTGGGCCTATATCAGTTGCGCGATCGTCTGATTCCCCCACATAGCTCAGTTATTGACCCGGCGCGGTGAGTCCGATGCGCGCGCACTCTCTCTGCGGTCTAGAACCATCCTAGCATAGCTCAAGCGACCACGCGATGCCGGCACCTTGTGAATCCTGTAAAAGTAAGTATTTACTCTTAAAATCATAACTATAATTATTGTAGTTTTTCAGTCATACAGCATAATTAATGGTTTTATGTTATTTCACAAGTTAGAAATCGATAATCCATATTGTTTAATTTTTAACCAAATTAAAAAAAACCGATGGGGAAGGTTATCCAATGTATAATATTGATTTAAATAATAATAATAAATTATTTATTAAATCAGACAATCATAAGTCCATATAGTTATTATTGTATTAGTTACAATATTGTCGTAAATATTATATTAGTAAGTTAGCTTTAAAGTACTTATATTCAATCATAAAATTAAAAATGTATTATAAAATTATTACAATATAGGCAGTTTAAAAGTCATATGCGTTTTTCCTTAATAATTTAATAAGTAAGGAGCAAAATAACTTAAAACCTCTTTATTTATTTATACAAACATCTACTAACTAAATAGACAACTATCAATAAAAAGTCGATAAAACACTCTTTGTGTTACGTAGGTATCGAGGTAATAGTTAAAAATGTAATGAAAAGCCTACGAATAAAATATATAATATGTTTATCATATTTACAGCATATTTCAAATATATCTGAGCTATCATACTTCAATTATTCGACTGTGTTACAGTGTAACTGTGTATTTTATTTATTTCATTTGCATAAAGGAAATGAACTCACTTGGGGAGTGCATTGTTTGTCTATTGGTACCGATTCAAGTCAAATATAAGATTCAATTCGGTTTTGTGTTTTATCGTCGAATAAACACAAAAAGAAAAAAGTTAGTATAATGTAAAAAGATTTAATTAGGTAACGTGAATAAATTAAACATTCACAGGACGACATATTCTTAGTCTTAGCGGCAGTTCTGGGTTCCTAATTAATTATAGAACTTGTGGTTTTCTTTGTGCCTAAGAAATAATTTAATATTAACAATTTCAGGTACTTGTAGCGGCGGGAAGGCCGCCTGTGGGGCATCATGCACCTGCGGGCCGACCTGCGCTTGCGGCGATGGTAGGATATTTGAAAATAATTTTTATTTCTTCGCACATTGTTCATTATTATTAATTCATGAGTGGGACCAACACACGAATAGATTGTGATTAAGTGTTATACAACCTCAGTTATGTTTAAAACCTATCCCCAACGGACAGACACTTTTCTATTTCTTTCATTGGTACCGTTTATAATATTTATAATGCAAATATGCAGGCTTCCCCCTTCTTATTTAGGAAAATTATTATTCTACTGGTTTCAAATTCAACATCATTCATTCATTTAGGTAACACAATGTACATAGGTAAAACACTTATGAACGTCAATAAACCAATACATATTAAATGCTACTAATTTCACATTTACTGTAAGCTCTCTAATAATCAAAGGCATAGAACGGACGAGAAGAATAAACTCTCCGCCACTCTTTTTAATCGCCAATTTTTTTGTTTTACAAAATGTTTGTAAGGAGCTGCAACCATTACATCATGTTCAACGTGATATCTTTAAGTAGATAATTAATAGTTAGTTAATAATAAAAAAAACAAAGATTTGTCCTCTATCAATCTCAGGACCGCCATCATAACACCTAAACTAATTTAATAAATAAAATGTATTTGATTTTAGGATTACACTGAACCAATTTATAAGCTTTTTTGTGTTTTTCAGGCAACAAGCCATGCTGCCAGGGAAAGTAAACTACTCGAAGTTTCCAGATTCTTCTAAAAGGCTATATTTTAATATCTAATCGCATAGTTATATAATTAATAGTTTATCGCATATAATGTAGTTGATATCTGAAAATTCTAACATAAAAATATTGTGTCGTCATGAAACGAAAGATTAATTATAACTTATGACTAGCTTAACGTATAGAATAGTTTTTTGCTTATTGGCTATAATATAAGTGTTAGTGAAATTTTCTTATATTCAATGTTTAAATCTAAATGTATTCTTGTAATAAAAGAGTCCCTAGTACTTCAAATACTCATTAATTTAATATTGTGAGCAGTGAGCACGCATACACCACACAATTGTGTGTTTAGTGTAGTATTAAATTTAGTATAAGCAAGAATTTTGTTTTTATTTGCCCCACTACCTTCAAAAGTTAAGCGCGTATGGAATTCGAATTCAGTAGTTAGGATTATCTTGGGTGGAATGTCTTGGCGAACCCAGAAGGCTGAAGATTTTATGGGCTATCCTTCTATTTGCGTATTTAACATTCGCTCGAACGGCGAAGCAAATCATCGTGAGGAAACCGGCTTGTCTTAGACCCAAAGCGGCGTGCATCAGGCAGAGAAGGCTGATCACCAACTTGCCTATTAGATAAATAAATGATCATGAAACAGATACAGAAATTTGAGGCCCGGACCTAACAAGGTTCAACGCCACTGATTTTTTTTTTATCACCATGTTATTTGTTAAGTTATCAATACGTTTGTTAATGGGATTTGAAAGAAAACATTGAAATGAAAAGATCCATTTATTTTACGACAACTTGTATATCATTCTTGAATACATTGGAAGCAACAAATGGGACTGCAACTCTTATTCTACATAATATTATAGGAATTTATTATGTTTAGTACAAAAATACGTACAGCTAAGATTAACCATGCAAAGTAATTAAATCTCTACTCAGTAATAAAACATTGGCATACTTCAGCTGATTACAGAAATAAATCAGTCTTCATCGCCATGCTTATTCCGTTATTAGATTAAATCAAAATGGAAGACGAATGGCGATGTTGCCAGATGTATTATTCATTCTCAAAATTAATACCACAAAGCTATAGATAAATTGAAAACTTAACAGCTAGGACTTTCGCTTATAATTAAACCACTAAATGAAACAACTGTTAAATTTCTACCAAAAATCCTCCCCGAGGTTATATTTCGCAAGCATAATTTGATTATTGTTCATGCGCATGAAAATAGATAAGGCGACTTATTTATTTATTTTGTATAAACTCTCGCTTCTCAAAATATAACTCACGTGGACATAAACAGTATATAGAATATAGATAATACATAATATGACTTATTTCTAATACTATTTATCAAAATATAAGTTTTTTCAACATAAGGCGAGTGCCCATAAAATTATCTCATCACAAACGACATATTTAACGAATATAATATATTTTAGTGGACAATAAAGTGAGCTTAAATACTTTTATATTTCGTACAAAATATAATATCATCACTTAATTACCAGACTTGACAAATGCACTTCGTAAATACGCACTTACTCAAAAATCTACCAAAATGGTAGAAAAACAAAATTGAAATTAAACTCTGACAGTTCGTAACTTATTTCAATAAAATAATATTATTTTTAATGTTTTCGATCACAACGCAATCACTGAGTTTGGTATTTATGGCAAAATGTCAAAGAATTGTAACCGGGCCGTTTTTGGCGGGAAAGTTTGCAATCTATGGCACCGATTCTTCCTCACTTCCATCGTCAGAGTCGTACACGGGCGCACCATTTTTCATTTGTATTACAGATTTCTTCCTGTGTCTATGCTCCTTTTGGTCCTTTTCTATGTTTCTGAAATAGATGTTTAGAAATTTAAGTAAATAATGTAATTAATCAAGATTTTTTTTCCTTTTAAATCCATCAGCAATCAGCCTCATGGCTTTTATCAATCAAGATTAAGTTTTATTTTAAACGACTAGAAATCTCTACCAATTAAATTTTATGTATATTTTTAGGCATTAAGGAAGTTTATACTTGGAATATATTATATTAACTCCTTAAGTCTTCTTAAACAAGAAAAAGATCCAACTTGAAACGGAACAAATTGTATTTTTACGTTATGTTTTTGAGTAAATTTTCTCAGGTGATCACTCTCGTATAAGATTCGGAAAAAGTAAAATAAAATAGTACCTGGCACTGATAAGCGGATGCAAAGCACTTTTCAAGCTGGAGAAGACAAAAGGATGCGCCCTCTCCTGGTCGTCCAGGATACTCTGGGCCAGCATGAGAGGCTCCAGGTCTTCATTCTGCTCCAGATCTAGCTGCCGGGAACCGCAGGGTTCGGATATCGATCTGTCCAGGGTTTTACTGAAACGTTTAACCCTTTTAAAAACTGAGCTATCCCTTTTCTTCACAGCGTAAACACAATTTAGTCAGAAAGAGACAAACTAAAGATATACTCGATATTATGAAAGTTGGAAAGTGTTCCTAAAAAGAGAAAAGTAAAAAGGTTTCGGCCCATTGCCCCACTGGTTCACATTAAAAACTGCAGTAATAATAACTAATTGGACTAATTTATTATATATTAATTTTATTTATTATTTATTTTATTAACTTGGGATTGATTTGCTCCAGTTTAAACAATTGGTATAACAATACTTGGCGATTAAAAAGAGTGGCGGAAAGTTTCTTGCCAGTTCTTCTTACCCGCTCTACGCCCTTGACTTGCGAACTGGTAGTAAATGTAAATTTACAATTAATTTACCTTCTTTCTGACAATTCACATACTTGTTTACCTACATGAATAAAGGTATTTTTGAGTAAGCCAAATCTTTTTTTACAATTAAGTGTAATCTGGTCTGTTGAAGTAAAAACCTTTTAACGGCAACACCAGAGGCGCCGTGTGCAGCGAAGTCAGGCAAAGCGCGCGAACAACAAAAGGTGCCCAACCAATGAGCTCGCACGTAGATGAACGGGCGGATCACCCGGACTTCTTGGTCTCTGGACATCCGGAAAATAGTGTCATATAGTTAGGACATCTCTTTTGTCTTTAAACATATTTATTATTGCGAAAATTTATTTCCAAAAAAACTAATTTGCTCTTATAAAAATAAAAAACCAACATAAAAAATGTTAATTTAGGAACTTAACAAAATAATAATGATATTGATATATATATTAAATACCATCGGTGTTCAACTATGAATAATTGCACCACAATATTACACTAGCACATCTATATTAATGAAAAAAAATCGGCAAAAACGCTGCAAATTTTAGCCTCATGCGCCTAAAGAAGTTTCACTTCAAAAAAATCTATTATTTGATATCTACCCTTCGAAATAAACACAACTCGATAAAGCATCATGTATTAGAAGGGAAATCTCACCTGACTTTATAATGCGCCTTCAAGGAGCAAAGAGCGCCTCCATAGAGGGCGCTGGCCATGAAGGCCTTCGCTGCGTGGTCCAAGTTCTGAGCGATTGCGGCCACTCCGTAGCCGTGCGCAACGGCAGCGTCGCACGTGCGCCTGCGCACTTCGTGGGTCGACCAGCGGTGCAGCTCGGAAGGCTTTGTGCTGCTACGACCTGAAGATTGGTTTATTTATATTTATATGGAATATAAACGGGTTATCAGTGTTTCTTTTCAACTGTCTTTCTGTTGTGTGTGTGTGTGTGTCGGTGTGTTGTTTATTACTGTCATATTAAACACACTACACAGATATTTCAAATAAAAAACTTTTTATGACAAAACAGCCGAATATGTTTTTTTTGTTAAAGTAACAAAATAAAGCAAATAGCTATTATTTCGTTAGATATAGAGAGATCACACGCGAGTATACTTGACATAGTCTGTATACAAAGAAATAAATAATACCTTCATGACAACACTTACGTTCAGATTCATCTTCAATCTTGTCCTGGTAGATGAATTTGACGCCCAGAGTCCTGCAGTAGGCCATCAGGTGCAGAGGGTCCACATCCGATTTGGGCTCATGGACGAACAATGCCCCTGGAAGATTACAATATAATATTGTAAATGTAAAATAGTGCCTTTTTGTAAGCAACAAGTGTTAGGTTTTTACTAAATGCTTAAAGCGGATAATAGAAATATAATAGTTTGTGTGTTTCAAAGACAAAATAAACAAGAAATTCGCACCAGCACTGTGTGAAACCAGCTGCCCACGGAAGTATTTCACAATCAATTCGACTTAGGCTCCTCCAAGAAAAGAGTGTACAAATTCTTAAAAGGCCGGTAACGCACTTGCGAGCCTTCTGGCAATGTGTCCATGGGTATCACTTAACATCAGATGAGCCTCCTGCCCGTTTGCTTGTTATATATAAAAAAAAAAAAACAGAAATAGCGTTAACTAGAATCTAAATGGAAAATTCCATATCTTTCGTCCATTGTACAGCGAATAAATGATTTGTTCGATATGTAAAAGAAAGCCGTGAGCTTACCAATAGAGAAATGTATGCCCTTGGACCTGGCGTAGAACTGGTATTGGTGCATAGTGTGCAACAGGGCGATGGAGTCCCTTCTTCCCGACAGACATACCAACACTTTGTCGCCGGGACGGACCATGTTGAACTCGTGGATAGCCTGGAAGATAATATAAGATTTTGTATAATGTTATTGAAAGCGGAGTTTCGTTTTACCAGAAATCAGGTTTCTTGATCTCTCTCACATATCTTCAGAACATACATATATTCCAACCGCTTAGGATTTCAGTTTACCATTTCCATTATTTACATGCTAACAAACTTTATATTTTTAAATCATTTAAAATTTTCTCTCACTATCGCAAATTTATTTTAATTTAATTTATTTTCAGTTTTGAATGACATAAATTAATTTCATTGCACTAAAATATTGAACCTTAATTAAGCTTCTTAATAATTCTAAAAGTGTAACAATTATATAAACGAACAATTCTATGTTTCTTAAACCATGGCAGTTATCGAATGCTTAATATAAATTGAATATATTTTTCAAATGGTTACCTCTAGAGTAGCTTTCCAGACAGCTTTGGGCGGGCAGTGCCACTTGCCTTCGTCGTCGAAAGTGAAGTCCGTAAGAGAGCCATCGCTGCACGCGCTGCTGTCGTCTTGCTCCGTCTCTTCGCCACAGCATTCCGACTTCGAGTGACGGCATTCAGATTCACTGGAAGCAGTTTTTAACTAAATGTGAGGTGAAGTCAACCAAATAAACGTCAGGAAATGCTGTTAATTATTCCTACGGTATTTTGATCAAGCAGGGATTATGTGGGACCAAAACACAAACCTTCAGCTCTCATTGATGAGCGGAGCAGGTAACATGAGGTAACCCCAGTCAAACGGGAATGTCACAGACCGTGACTCCTTCCACGCACAAATGTTCAAAACTTTTTCTCATGACAGACGTGGAAAAGCACGGCGTCACTGCTATAATATACTCCTGCCATATCTCGAATACTTTTTCTTCACATTTGAATATTCAAGCAACAGTTCAAGGTTTTTATACCATACCTTCTATCATAAAAGTTGTCTTCCTGTGAGGGTCGTTGCCCATCTGTTCCATAACCGCTGGATCTGGAACTACGGTCTGAGCAGCTGGAAGAGGCGTTTGATGATCTGCTAGAACGCTTCGAGTCTTGGGCCGATGTTCTGGAACAAGTAATTGAAATATTAAATGTAATAAAAACACTTTATGTTAAGAAGATTGTGTATGTAAAATTTATGTTGCTGACTCAATTACCTGTTCCGTCGTTCAGCATCATCAGGTATTTGGAAGACCACTCTGCCAGAATCCGTTTCATATGTCTTGAGAGGTCCACATACTGGAACACCCTCTATAATGTCAGGCACTTCTGTCTTCTCGTGCTTTTGACACATTCGGAGACGACCCTGGAACTTCTTCTTATTTGTTGAAGGGTCTGATGATGTGCGCCATTTTACTGAAAATTTTAATATGGATCTATTACAAAAAATTTAAAAAGTTTTTTTTTATATTGTTTTTTTTCTTTAAATTCATTGGCAAGTTATACCAGAACTACAAAGCGTATAATGAATCCTGAACTATCCTAGGACATTTTGTGATGACAGATGGGTCAAAAAGACCTTACTTGGAAGGGGAAGAAAAAGAGAGGACGCCCACCAGAAGCCTGGAAGATGGAATTAAAGGGATAAAAGCGGGGGAGAATTGGAAAAAGGTGGCGAGGATGAGAGACAAGTGTAAGAATTTGGAGGAAGCCTTCACTCCATCGGAGTCGAATGTTAAACATAATGATATGGACTTAATGTAATCCTGATTATGGCTACTCGAATAAAGGCTATTTTTATTTTATTTTATGTACAAGCCATAAATTATTGTAATAATAGACATAGAAGTTTCCAATAATAAACATACTGCTAATATCTAATTAGGGACGAATCACATCCAGATTGAATCTTTATAAATCAAAGGCAGTCGTCATATTACATAAAAGACTTGACAGCTTCAATTAAAGCTGATTACCTTATAAAATGTTATGTTAAAATCTTTTAGTTTAACACTTGCAATCGCATACACCAAAATATCATTACATATGAAAGTATATGCGTACTTACCAAAATCGGAATATGTATCGGAATCGGTGTATATCATATTGATACCGCTGTCTTGTGAGCTGGCTGAAGGATTTTGGCACCAATTTTTCTTAAAACAACAGTGTCTACACACTGAATCCATACAACTTGTTTCGTCATCGGACAGTTTGTTTGAGCTTAATGACTTTGGCAGATTTGGTGAGTTTTGCGAGGTCGTTACGACCTGTATTATGGTATCAGGGGTAGAGGTCTCACTGGAGTTAAAAGAGATACTGTTGGGGCCGGATGCCTCGTGCGAAGGCGTGCATTGTGCGGACTTGGGTGGTGTACTCGGTGAACTTTTGCAGCATTTGTCATCCTCGTCATATTGCGACGGAAATACAGGGCTGGTTGGACATTTCCTTAAGGTCTGCTTCGGATTTAAGTTTTGAAGATCGAGCCCTAGACCCAGCTCTGGCCCAGATCCGATTCTCTGTCTCGGCTTTGGTGGTGAGTTTCTCCTTAAGCATGACCCTGAGTAGTCCGGAGATATCATTTCGTCTACCATTTCTCGAATATTGTACTTCAGCTCTGAGGCCATTTCTTCTGATTTTCCCACTAGATATTCTGCTAAATCTACTACAGACATAGAATTCCTATCGCTTTGACTAGAAATGGAGGTTATGCTCGTGTTAGATTGGTTCGTGATGTCTGAGTTTTCTAATGCATCGTCTACTGTGGAGATTACTCCGCGTAGTTGAGATTTAATCTCGGTTGCGATTTCATTAGTTTTTTCCTTCACGTATGTCAGGTCCTCTGACGTTTGTGACGTTATAGAAGCCGTGGGAGATGTACGACCAACTTGGCTACAATCAGACATGGACGTACTACTTTGGCTGCTATAAGGAAAGTTTTTATTTGTTGAGTTCATGCTGTCATCTAACGACTCCAGATCTGTTTGGCTGCCACAATTACAAAAAGTACTAGATTTCTCTGCGTTGTTCGGGCTGGCTTCTTTGATTCCCAGATTAAGTTTGGTTTGAGAGCTGAAAGGTGGAGGTGGACTGTCCGAACCTAAGCTATAACATCTGGACCTGACTAGAGATGGTCTACTTCTTTGTGGGACTAGACATAAAGGTGACACAGACTCGCCCACCGCGAATTGTACGGGTTGGTGGGCCATTTTGACAGTCTCTTCGTTTGTACTTTCTCTTAAACTTGACTCTCTTGAATAGAACTTTTGTTTATGTTTAAGCCTAAATATTTGACAATCGTCGATAGCCGAAAGGCTGAAATGTCTTGGAGATGAACCCAGGATTGGCGAAGAGGTATTTGAACATCTTGATATACTATAAAGACTTTTTCTCGCTCCAGTATATCCGGATGGATCGAACGGGACAATGTGTTTCACATTTGATGATCGCCCAAGTAAAAGTTCATGTGCTTCCTTAGGTAACATAAACCATCTTAAATAATCAACTTTCGGGTTAAAGGTGACTTCAGGCTCAGTTGGAGGGCATTTCATCGCCAATTTTCTAGCTTTGCTAAACAAATTTCTTGCTGTTTGCAGACACTCTGTGTACGTTTGTGGGAATATTCCTGGACCTGAAGGCAATAGATACAGAAGTGAATATAATAGTAGGGTTAATCTTCAATAAGAGAACATAAAGCAGTATGATATTACCTGAAATACGACGCTCGTGGGGAGTTATCTTGCCGTCATGGAATCGTAGAGAGAATAAAGATTTCTTATCTCTCAACCCAGAACAAGAATGATGCCGCCATTGTCCCGTTTCAGCATTAACAGCGTATTGAGGCAAAATCTTCCAACCTTCCGTTGCTACCATTTTTAGAGCTTCCAATACGAACGCTAGTTCGCATTCCGACATAAAGAAAGGAAGAAAAATTCTACAAAATCCAGGTCTTAGCGGTTCGTTGTGAATTGGAACTTCTGGGGATTTGATAACACTCAGCTTTCGTACTCTGGCTATTTCTTTTTGCCTGAAAGGGGGTTTCAAATAATTAATAATATTTTTAATTTAAAAACTTTTTAGTACACTTTGGACCGAAGAGATTTCATAAATCAACCTAACAAAAATAACAGAAGAAAATTTACTACATTCATTTAAAAACGCTGTAAGGATTCAAAATTGCTTACGCTTCAACATCCAATAATTTCTCATACTCCTTCAATAGCTGCTCATCAATGCCTAAGACATCAGATCCAAATGATAAATTATTAAGTCCGCCTCGTGCCTGGATCCCAAAAACGTCATTCAAGATGGCGCACACGAAGTTATGATGAAGAAAAGTTCCCCTCGGATGCTTCACCATGAGAGAGAATATTGGTAGTCTCCTCACAGTTGGCACCTCACTTCCCAGAAGGAGTAACTCTGGTATGTTCTTGATGTGCGATATTACTTGTCTGTAAATAAAGACTTAATTAATTATTGGTTTAAAATATCGTATTGTGAATACAGCCATTTTGTAAGTCAGTTACACAAAATTGTATCAGTTACACAATACATATAACCGGCCGTCCCGGTAAGGTAGAAATTTGTCGTTACTGAAAATAATATAATGGTTTCTTTATAGAACAATAATCTACTGCTCTCTTATACTCTTGATTCATAATAAAGATTATAAACTTGACTGGTGTCCTAACTGACAGTATCTGCACGTAATTTTGTGATATTTTTCTTAAAAAGTACCTAAAAATTCTCGCCGACTTTCATTCAGAGACTTTTGACCCTATATAGATACCGTCGTGATTAAAAATATTACTTATATTTAGAAAATAATAGTATATAAAAGTATAGTATTGTTACATTGTTTCGGCATCACGTGTAAATCTTTAATATACCATAGATATGGAGATTTATGTAAATGTTTTATTACACCCACTTAAAGGATGTTACCTAAGGCGCCACAGTTTTGAATAAATTGATAATAAACACCAATTTTGCTTTAATATATGGAAATTATCGTAGAATTCGGATACAAAATAGTTCACCATTACTTCAAACAAACACGTAGGTACACTGCATGGTATTATTTACAATAACATCTTATTTATAAACCGTAGCTATTTTTCCATTTCCATAGGTTTTAAAGTTCTAACTAGTTAATTCCATTGAGACATTCTTAATACGATAAGAAGGTGCAAAGAAAAGAATTGTGAACAAGGCAAAGTACTCAAGATAAAAAGAACTGGCAATGCGCCAACTTTCCAAAACGTAGCAGGGCTTCTTACTAATGCTCAAATAAATAAATGTAAGATAGTAAAATTTACATTTAAGATATTTACATTTATCACGAATATTTCAAAATAACGTACACTGACCAAAATCTGGACTAAATTAATCAATTTTAAATCTAATAATAAACATTGTGATAAAATTAATATAGAACGCGAAAACAAACCAGTTTTATAATTAAATTAAATTTATGATAATTGCGTTTCGTTGCGGAAAAGAAACATTTTCAATCGTGACATTCACGTATAGACCAGTGCAGATAGCCTTCAAAATAAATAAAAAGTGAAAAAAATTACAGTAGGATGAAACCCATTAGAAAAGCAGGGGAATATGATCAAAATAATAGGAAAAATAAATTACGGTCGATCTGAGGTCGGGAAGGGTAGGGGGGGGAGTTTTAAGGGTAAAAAACGGTTTATCTCGATTTCCGGCAAAACTAAAAGTCCTATCGAAGAAAGTTAAATGGCAAAGTTGTAGGTAATAAAAAGATCTAAAACTTTTGTATTCACACATTTTTCACATAACCTCAAAATTTATGTGAAAAATTCAAAAAACCAAGTTTTTGGTTTTTAATTTTTATAAATTTCTTTTTTTTTAACGAAATTTGGTGAAAACTTACCTTATTATGTCCCAAATATACTGTAATTTATTTGATTAAAAATATTTATTTTTTCACCTTATTTTGAATTAATATCGAAAAAACACCCTTATTTTCAATCGAAAATTCTGACGTCAAAATTTCAGCTTTTTTCAAAAAGTTGGTGTTCTTTTTTACTAACAAGAGAATCTTTTTAAGAATACGCTACACGGGTAATAATTCATTCAGATTTTGGTAATTCAATATCTAACTTAGGTGGACAAATCTGTATATATTAAAATTGTTATTCATAAGTTGTGTCCGTCGTTGGTCTATAAAAAGATACATGACATTTTATTTTAATAACACACAAATATAACACACTATTTTTAACCCACATAATATATATCCAATAATAATAATTCAAAAAACCTGCGCTCATTTGGCTTAGGCTCGTGTGCAACAGAACAACGATCATTAATCGATAGTAAACTGATAATAATAATAATAGTCTTTTAAAATAATAATCTAAAATAAATCGAAAATGTAATAAAACTTAGTAATGTGGCTTCCTGTTCTGAAGCCTTGGATAGCGACAATATTAATGACTCGCTCACAGCTGAATCCCAACAAACGTAATCATTGCGAACATGCATGATATCATACAAAATTAATTTATTTTCGTTTTGTTTTCTAGCGTCTATATATTAGGTTCTGAACCTTATATATTTAAATATTAATTAAGATGTTTATAAGAAATGTTACCCTTTTGGTTAAGCGTGCGATTCTGAAATATTAAGGGGATTTTCTAGATGCACAATTCTTATGGTGAACGAATATCGAGCTCTTGGGTAACCACATTCTCATTAGAAACCTATTTCTACCTATTTATGTAGTTTTACTCAAAGAATAATTATACTCAATTGATATTATATTGATATGCCTTATAAGAAATAAATAATTAATTCATAAGCAGTATGAAACATCTTTTTATAAATAATTTTTATTAAAAATATTTTTGTGCATAGCTTTTTTGTTTTATGTTTTATTACTGTTTTAGGCGCCTAAACTAAATAAAACGAAAATATAATTTATTATGATATAACGGTTGACTTGATAGAAACGCCCAATATTTTTTTTGTCTGACCAATGCCCCAGATTGACTGGGGCCTAGGTACGACCGAATTATTGTTAAGCTTTAAGTACATTGCCTATTTTTATTCTTTATTTTCAATAAAACCGTATAACCAACAAAAAAAAATCTATTTGTATTGCATTCAGTAGGCTCTATATATCTTGTTATTAGGGTCCTATTTCGGTGCTATAGGTGTTTTTAGTAATTCTTGTTTTGTATTCAACGAATTGATCGTGTTCCGACAAAAATATATGTTATAGTATGTTTAATGACATTATAGAGTAGATAAACAAGCAGTAATGAATATTATGTGAAAATTGATATGGATATGGCATCAATAATACTAGATCATCATCAATCATTGCGGTTTGACAATAGAAAGCATTTCTCAATGCACTGATAAAGGTTGAATTGTTGTCTGGTTTTTCGTACAAATAACTTTGAAAAATGAAAGAAAATGGTTTCTAATCTTGCATTTATAAAATACATAATTAGATTAAAAAATACAATCCTCTGAAATAATATCAATTATTTTGTCAACTTACACTGTTAACTGATCGTGGTTTTGAAAATTTATTTATATATTAGAGTACACATCATATATCATTCATTTTATACATTGTACACAATCTATCTAATCAAAAATCCCTGACAATTACGGTGTGAATATAAACTAAAACAAGATATTTAAAAAAAAATGTAACTAAGAATTTTAGTTTAACGCCCGGCGGGAGACGCAAAACCCACCAGACCTTGTTTAAGTTAATTAATTTAATAATTAATTAAATGTCCCATTTTAGGAAAGATTTGACACTCCCTGTGCTGCTTAGTTTCTCTACCACAGATCTGCGTAAACGCGTGGCTGAGAGGCTATTAGGGGTCCTATGTAACAAGCTCTGAATAAGTAGCGTTCATTCTATTGTATTCGCGAAGAATCCGAAGAAAATTTCAATTGCCGGATTTGAGCGATAATAGAAAAAACAAAAAAATATATAATCAAGTGTAATATTAAATTTTAAAGAAATACTACAGTTAAAGTAAACAAGTATTTAAAAATACTGAATTATTAACAAATTCAAAATGACTAAACACATTATGACAAAGTAAGATTACAAACACAACACATGGTGCAATTAGCTCTGTCAAGTTTACATGAGCCACACTCTGACCTATATGTGAAAATTAGGTGGCTGGTGGGATTGCTTATTATTTATAGTCGATATTTGGTTCAGAATTAATTTGAAATTTAAGTATTGTTAAAGTAACGTAACATTCTAAATTCCCGATGCCCGGTGGCGTTGTGTGACGGGTCGTTTAATTCCCTCAAATATGGTTGAGTAAAACGATGGCTGGCTCACACGTCATGCCTGTGAACAGGTGCCGCTTCCGGAAAATGGAGTGCGAGGTTTCCGTTCAGTTTTGTAATTTAATAAAAATAAAGAGCGGACCGTATCTCCCTCCATTTGGTTTCTTCTATCTATGTTTGCCATTGTCATTTTGTATGATAATTTGATATTTTAAAAGAGTACCGAGAGTTTTTTACGCCGTCTTTTTCGCTCGGCCTACACCCTCGGTTTTCTTTGCCGATGAGTAGGGATGTCTACTTGTACATATTTAATTATGTGGAATAAGTGATACCTGTATCTTATATTCCATAATAAACATATTTTTTTTATTGTATTGTCTTTGGTCTTATGAAGGTCATTTTGTCTATAATTTCAAGCTGTCACTCTTGTTTATAATGTTATTTTTCTTTCTTAAAACTATTATACAATGCTCACTAAAACCCAGTCGTTATGGGCCCAGCACGCTTCCACTCCAAAACGAAGAAAGCTCCAGTCCGGTCAAACAAGTAATTTAAAAGCCTTAAATGATTGAGTGGGTTTTTAAATAGCCGTTCAGTAATAGCTTATAATATTCCAGAAACAATGAGAATTACAAAAAATAATCAATAGAATCATAACAATAGTGTTAATAGTGTTTAGGTCACAGTTAACAATTTATAAAAAAAAATACGCGAGATACTATACAGGTACTGTGTATGGTAATCTAGTTTATTAAAAGATTGTAATGGGGTCAAGCGAATAGGCTATTCTAAACTTAATGCAATCTTCGCTACGTAGCCAGGACAAGCGCTCATCTTAAGTGGTATACGCTTAACAGCTCACATGGGCTTCCAATTTAATGCGAGTCACGAAAAAAAGTGTTTTAAAACGCTTAGTTGTGAACGAGTATAAGTAAATTAATCCTAATATTAGCTGAACATAGCATTTACGATGGTCATAAAATGGTAATTGTAGCCAAGACTCTGATATATTCAAGCATAGTTACTAATCATTTTATTATAGGTTCGCGTCACCAAGGA